GAGTCGCGTATCAGCGTTCCGATCTTTACATAAATAGCCAATCGGTAGTTAAGTATATATTTGGTTATAATTCATTAAATATAGCTCAGTCTTGAATTTGCTAAATCGAAAGCACCGCGCACGAGAAGCTGAAAAATCTTCTGCGTGACGTCGGTGACTTGTTGTTTAGAAGCTCGTTGCACTCTCGCTGAAGCGAGAGTGCAAATGGTGGTACGATTGCCTAAGCAGTCGACCAACCACACAACCACCCTCGCACGCGAAATTAAGACGGTATAACCGCTTCCTTGCTTGTGCTGAAGGTGTGCGCTAAGTAGCACGAGGCAACTTCGTAAAAATTGCCCGTCTGCATTAGAAGTGTGCTGTTGTGCATATCGCGAACAGCAAAGAGAAAACGATCACGCCGACGGAAGTGTACTTGTCGCCGCAGCTCGCGCGCAACATCGTCTCATACGGAAAGATCGAGCAGAAAAGCTTCGGACTTGTGTACAGCGGATCGGGTCGTGTTCGCGCGAAGCAGTGACGGCGCGATCGCTTTGGACATAAGCATGCAGACGAACGTGCTGTACGTGCAGACAGCGACGACAGCGGTGCGCCAAAAAAGCCATCAATTGCGCTGATGGCCGTGCTCTTCAGCTTAGGATCGACCACAGTTGATGACCTTCAGCGCAGGTCACTTATGCATTTCCATGCTCGGATGGGAAACCTGTCGTTCGATACGATAAAACGAATGGCGAAGACACCCGGTTCTGGCATCGAGCCCACTGACCATAAGAGAACGGTGTGTATCCCCTGTACAGACGAGAAACAAACGAAGAACAAGCAGTCGCAGGCAGACACTGGCGGGCACGCGCCGATCGATCGGATTGGTAAGGTAATTTGCTCGGACCTGAACAGTCCAATGAGGTATACAGATCGGCAAGGCAATCACTACCTCGTCAACTTCGTCGACCACGAGTCGAACTACTGTCGCGTCTGAGGTGACGGCACAGGCGCCCGCGTTTGACGAGCCGCTGGTTTTCGCTCTGGTGAGTTCCTCATCGCATCGATCGTCATCGTCCTAGCACCCATACTTGCGCCAAGAACGGACGCAAACAGTCCACTCTCGATCGCACCGCGCATGCGCTAATTCTCGTCGATTTGCATCTGGGAAGTCTCCATCTTCTTCATGCGGTCCGAGAGACGAAAGAGGCTCGGCGACCGACGAGAAGATGCTCGCGGCCGCCGAGATCCTTTCGTGAGCTGGCTTGTCTTCAACGACGGCTGCGGCGTGCGGCGGAGTTGCCATGTGCTGGCGAAACAGCGCGTGCCGGCGCTGCCTTGTGTGGCCTTCTGTTGCCGGCGCTGCCTTGGTGTCGTTCGATCCAGCCTTTGGGCTCACAACCTGTAGGAATTAGTTAGCAGTGGTTAGATGAGAGTGAAATTGATTCTATGTTCTGCTTGATCTTATATGCTACTCTTTCTCTTTAACGCCCCCTATCTACGCTAACTATCTTGCCGTTCCTGCTCTCACGTTCATCTATACCTTTCGTTCTGGCTCTACCTCAATTCTGTCCTACCTGGAACTGTGCTTGTACACAAATGCCAAGATGTGACAGCCGTTTCTCTCATCACTTATTCAATATAAGGAGAACTGAAGATAGCAATTGTTCCATGTTGCAATCATTGTGGCCATGGAATTGAATATTGTGAGCTTAGTGACACGTCATTAGATATATTCAAATTTTGTATTGAGATGTGTGTGAAGCCATATTAAATTTAATAGTTTTTGTCAAGTTCCGTGGTAAAGTTGATAATCTTGTCATTGTAGTATTTCAATTCTGCTCAAACTACCAGGCATAACGTGTTCCTCAATTATTATGGCGACTACTAAACGGCGCAATGTGGTGCTGCATTTTGACTTGAATCGTACTATCCTTATGTCAGATGCTGCTGGTGGTCGAACTATGGAAAACACTGTGAATTATTTACTTTCAGAATGCACATGGGGTTACGTCAACCCTTTGGCTCCATTCGAGTGGGTTTGTGTTTCCGACACTTCATCCATTGAACCTCCAGTTACTAATAATACCAATGGACTATCGCTAATTTCATACAAAAAGTATGTGGATAATGCTTATCCATATCAAAATATAGCCACTGCTAAAGACAGTGACATTGATCAGATTAAAACGGTAAACAAAGTAGCCAAACAAAAGCGAACGGCTTTACAATCGGCATTTACATGTGGAGACAATGCTCCTGGTTTTCGTGTCCGACAATCATTTCAAGACGTGATGGAAAAGCTCCATTTTCCTCACGGTAAACAACGTGAAGCTGCCAAGCAATTGGCTTCAACGATGCCCAAGTCTCGACTACATGAAGCGTGGAGTCAAGGACGGTACTACTTATTGCCATCATTTTTGCAGTTTCTATCTTACTTAACGTCTTCCAAAGTGATGCAAAAGGAACTCAATGTGAAGCTTGTGTTTCGTACTTTTGGTGACGATATTGTGGAAGTTGCACGGGAATTGGATCTCTTAGTAGACGGTCACCACCCGATCGGACTTCCTGCACTGCCGGACCATTTCCGTCTCAAGATAGAACCAAGTGCTCGTTGTATTGCTACGTTCTACCGTGATGGACTCGAAGCTGACGGCACGGTTTTAGCTTTGGGCACGCTTACCAAGGTACCGTTTTCTACCAAGCTCGCGGAGGAAGGGGCCAGCGCACCTAACAACTTTTACGCTGCGTCGGACCAGAACGTAAAAGTGATTCGCGGATTTCAGTCTATTCAAGAGACGCTTGAAGGTATGCTTAAAGGTGCTAGTATACTGGCACTTCGTGACTACTGGGAGTGGTGGAGCGCCCACGCTGAGAATGGCCAGTATGGAAAATTGCTGCTTATTGATGAAGAGAAGGCAGTGATGAACGGTGATATCGCTGTCTTTTTTGACGATCACATCGAGGCAAACCACTCTCACATTGTAGACGTGCGCGACGTGCGTTCAGGAGCTTCTGTGGACTTTGAAAAGAGTTATGGGAAGTATCTACAGCGGGTGGAGCCCGTTGCGGCCATCACGGACCCAAACTACTTCATTTCGCTGTTCGAGAAGTACGTAATGTAGCTTTGCGATGTCAAAAGCGACTTTGAGGAGGAGAAATGTGACGAAGGATGGCTCAGACCTTGCAGATGATTTGCACATTATACATTGCTTATCGCTTGGGCCAGCTTTTTTTCGAGACCTTGTTTTCGGTGCTGCTTCTTTTCTTCTTCGGAGTCGGTGTTCTTCCTTCTGCTCACCATTCTTGTCTTCACATTCTTCTCATTAGCATCGTCACCTTCTTTTTTCGCGACCGAGGGAATCGCCTCACTACCGCTATGCTCTTCTTCGTTACCATTACCAGTACTATCTGAAACGGCCGCTGCAGCAGCAGCAGCTCGTCGTTTTTGTTGACGTGAGCTGATACGTGTTGCTGGCAATATGGGTCGCCGTCTGCGTACTGGTGCACGTTTCGTTAGAGGCTTGGTCGTTTTACTTTGTTCGCGTAAATTCGTGTTTGCTTCAGAAGCGGCGGCGTCAAGACTTCCCAAGCCACTCACTTCCTCGCTCGCGGACGCAGTAGATACAGATGCGAAGCGCATGCGTTTTCGAGAGTTGCGCGAGGAAAAAGAGGGAGCTGCAGAACTGGTACCATCACTGGCAATAATCGTGCGTTTTCGAATTCGCGTTGGCGCGCGCGGGGGTGAACAATATTCAGGGTCAAAAAGATTCGTCGTTGGCTGTCTTACTACTCGACGCGTGAAAAACAAAAGCAGTGGCCTTCACATCGTTCTCGTCTGCGATACTCTCGTGTCTGTATTCATTGCTTTCTCATTCCAAGCAGCTTCTCTCTCTTCTTTACGAGCCGCAACCTCCATGTCCGCTTCCTAAATCTTTTGCAGTAACATAGCCGCTTTCGTTATACTAGCTTTACGCAACTTCTCAGTAAGCGTCCTCGCAACATGCAGCAATTCCACAGCCTTTCGTCTCGCTTCAAGCTACTCGTGCCGCTCTACATCCATCACCACATACTGACAAAAAAGATAAATCTGTTCTGCAAACTGCGCCCACTCACAAATCACGCCTTGTGTAACTCGATCATTTATTTTTGTCCAATCCACTTGATACGCATCTTTCCAACTTGATTCTCTTCATTTGTCAGTGTAAACATGGCTGGATCCACAACATTGCTCTTTGTCACCGACACAATCTTAGACAATACATCCAGCAACATACTCTTCCGTGACGCCTTTATACTCGCCATCGCAGTCTCCACCTGATACGTCTGCGCCCCATTCTTCTCCGCCTCGTCCTTTTCCACTCTCTTCTTCCTCGACAACAACCTGCACAATCTTCTTTTCCTTCATCTCCATCTTCTTTTTTTTTAATCTCTATCTGTTCTCTTCACTCTCTGTATTTTCTTCCATCTCTTTATCCTTCTTCTCTTCGTTCTTCTCCCATTTCTATCATCTCAATATCCTTCACCTCTTTCATCGTCTCTTTCTCATCCAAAATCTCTTTTTTAGCAATACCATTTGTTGTAAGAGATGACGTCAGTGTTTCATCACTTGCTGATGGTGACGCGTTACGTTTGTTTCAATCTTCAAATATTCTTCAAGGTCTCGTCCCTTGTCCTCTTTTCTCGCTCGTAAACACAACCATCTTGACATTATCGATCTTCTTCTTTCCAATGTCTTTTTTTCTTCTCTTTCTTCATCTCGTCGTTTTGACGCTTTAAAGTAATCCACAAGTGCCGCGAAATCCAACGCACTGAAGGATGTTTTGGGTTTAAACAGCTACAAGAGCACCATCATTGTACCTCTGAAAATAATGATTTCCCTTTAGACACAGCTACTGCAAGTACCAGTATATTTTCATAAAAGTCGCAGAATGATGGTCAGCTTCAACTAACCAAGAATATCTTCATATTACTTGTGGTCCACACCAATCATCGTTTCTATTCGTTCATTTCATTTCAGTATGGGTGACTTTTTCCTGCACGCCTTGGTCGTCGACTTGGAGCAGACGCAGCGCGCATTGCCTCTGCACTGTTTGTTTTGCGTGCCTCAGCCCCGGTCGTTTCTTGTGGACGAAGTAGTAACCCAAGACGTACTGTATACACACTTTCTCACTTCTGAAGGCACTAACGATAAACCGGCTAGTCGTCTTGGCGAGTATCGTACACTTAATGGTACGTATACTTACTGATGTAATTTATGTAAATATACTGTCACTTCAACAGTGTGGTTTGATTAGGTAAACAAGTACGTATCTTGGGGTCTCATGTTCATACCAAAAAAGGGTTTAATGATCGTAGACAAGTGAGAATCTTGCTGTCTGAGAAGAAAGAGGTCCACCATCAAATAGTGACTGTATTGCACATTAGTCGTCCTCTAGAAGGAGGCATTGAGATCCCAGACGATCCCAATGAAATTGACGTTGCGACTTTTCGAAAGTATACAGCCATTCTACGATCATTCCCTGAGAACGAGCTGGTGTTTTACCAATTAGATGAGACAATCAATCAAGTACACCGAATTTGTGCTCAAGAGCAAGTGTATGAGAGGTATAAAGAGACGTTGCCAGTAAGCTTGAGGCAAGAGTGGGAAGCTGCAGTAGATGAATTGATTCATGCAGGGAGTTTGGATAGTGTCGAAGAGGAAGATCGATTACAGATAAGACATGGAGGAGGAGAGAGTCATTTACTGCAGCTTCAGCAAGTTGTCGAGTGCTACTTAATGGAGAGTTTGTATGACTTGGTTTATCCAAGAGTAGTGGCAAGCTGTTACGATATGGACAGGAAGTTGCAACAAGTCATGTATCGTATGAGACACTATACTCCAGAAGATTTCGGACTTCGTAAGGAGTTTCAGGTGAGATGCCAATACTGTTTGCAAAAAAGGATGAAGTGTTGTAGTTGAATGTTAGTATGACTTGTTGATTCTTACTATGTGTAGTGTTTTGCGGCGGAAGCGCGAGATACACTTCTTACCGTTGTTGAAAAGAAAACACCATTGCATATGCTGCTAGTTCTCAAAACCTGCATTGATCAAATTAGCGACGCGATAAGTCGGAATGTCAAGCTGCGTCGATTAGACTCTGGTACTAGGTGCTTCTGACGGTTTTTCTATGCGTATTGGTATCTCATACGTTTCAATGCGTATTGTTGCAGAGGCGTATCAGTTGACAACAGACGATATCTTGGACCAGCTACTATTTGTGGTACTACGGGCATTTTACCACGTAACGCGCAAATTAACGGGAAGGGATGTATGTCCAGTATCACCATTTCCCATTGCAGCCGTGATAAAGTACATATCCGACTACCACTTCATTAACTTGAATACGACAGCGCTAGGCTTCACTATCGCAAACTTTCAAGTGGCTATCGAGTATTTCCTGAAGCGTGGGGATCACAGAGATGATTGCAAGGAGTGTTTGGAACTCGCTTCGCAAGACGGAAACGCTGGAAGTCGCTGCTTGCAGATGATTGCAGAGTCGAGCTGCGTTCGGGCTGCCCATAAGATTCGACGAGATCTTATGAAGGATGTAGAGGACGTGGAGCTTGCACGACGAGATACGAAGACTGTGACTGGGCAAAAATGTTTGCCAGTCGTTCTTGAATCTACTCGTGATGTGACGTCCATGAGAAGTATATCAGTAGTTGGTGAATGGTCTTCGCCGATTGATGATGGTCACGAAGTGGAAGCTAATGCCTCATTAGGTGGCTTGCTTGCTGTTCATCCTGTTGAATTTGTTGTTAATGGAAAAAAATCCGTAAAGAGTGACACCAATGTACTTCAAGTAAGCGGTGGGCAACGTTTTTTTGCTTCAGTAATGGAAGATGGCAAATTGTTCATGTGGGGAGACAGCTCCGGTGGCCGTTTGGGATACGCTCTTGCTGATGGAGATTCGCGACGAGTGAACTGTCCACAGCGTGTATTCACCTTAGAGCAGCAGACGATCACTCAGGTGGCATGTGGAGCTTTTCATACGCTGGCCACAGATTTAAATGGACATGTTTTTGCGTGGGGTAGCAACTCCAGAGGGCAATTGGGATTTCTATCACCAGGCTCTTCGGCAATAACAATGGAGACACCGTCCGTTGTAGGAGCTCTTCGAGGGGCGCGCATAAGTTCTGTTGCTTGCGGCGAGTACCATTCCTTGGCCCTTTCGTCCGATGGCTGCATATTCTCATGGGGTTGCAATAAGTACGGTAAACTTGGTCGTACTGCAGAGGGGTTGCTAGAGATGGCGGTAAGTATCCATTTTATGTGGGCCAAATTGGCTAGATTGTATTGTTGACAAGTGTTGGGATTCGCATGCATGGCTAATGTAGAAACCTAGACTACTCGATGCGGACTGGACAGGATGGTCAATGGATACGAAGTCCAAGATAAGGAGTGGAGAAAAAAGCGTTGTCAGCCGCATCGCTGCGGGAAAAGATCATTCGCTTGCCATTAGCAGTGATGGAGCGGTATTTACATGGGGGCGTGGTGACTCTGGGCAGCTTGGACACGGCTGCTACATGGATGTCACCGAGCCAATGCAGGTTATGGCTATAGCTGGTACCTCTGGCCTAGTAGACGTCGCAGGAGGGAATACTTTTTCGCTTTTTCTGGTCGAAAATGGAACAGCATACATCTGCGGACGGGACCCTTCGCTCAATGCTGATAAGCTGCTTCTCTCGCCATCACTGCTGTCACTTCCATCTCAACTTGCGCATAAGTTCTTGGGGCAGATCGTTTCAGTCTCTTGCGGCGAAATGCACTACGCCCTTTTGTCAAAATGTGGAGCGCTTCTAGTCTCCTTCGGAAGCTTTTTCCAGCCCTCACTCGTTGTCGGATCAACAACAGACGAATTGCAGGAGAGGCGTGTAGCCTGGGTGAAAGAGGCTGGCATAGTGCGTCAGATGACTTGTGGAGCATCTCATACGATCGTCGTTGCCTAAATGCAAAAAAACAGAAGTTTACAACATCATACTCCGCGGTTAAAGGTAGAAGTAGTCATTGTGGAGACTCCCGAGCTGTTCTTGATATCTTGTAGAACTTGTCGTAACAAGGTTTACATAATGGATCCGTGTCGAAATTCAAGAGATGAAGGTACTTTTGTGTGGCTATCGATCACGTTCTGGAACATGTGCAACTCAAGCGCATTAATTTTGGATTCCGATGGAGAAAGTGTGCAAGAAGTCGACACTCCACCACCAAGTTGTATAATGGAGCCCCATTGTCATTTAATGCTAACTATGTGGTCAATTTTCTATATCTTGACGTCTGCTGTAAATGTATTGACAGTTGAAAATGCAAAGGTTACGGATCTCGTGTCTTACCTCAACCGACACGTTCGATTACGAATACCAGCCTTCACGTGACGTGCGGAAACCCCAAACATCTCTGTCTCGTGTCCGACCGCTCCAGTGCACTAGAATCCTCCCTCGCTGGAGCTCAAGTGGGTGGGGGCATGTCTTGGGCATATATCTCGCGCGGCCACCGGTCATGCGGACAGCAGACGAGTGGAAGACAAGGGCAGCGCGCTGTACAAGCTGCCTGTGTTGATAATGGGGTCGCACGATAAAGTGACGAGTTAGAGCTTGCCCAGGTGTTTTACGAACGGCGAGTGAAAAGGAGCTGTAAGTTTTTGACGAATTCTTCCACGCACTTTTTGAGGATCCGGAGCATAAGACATCTTTGGCCAATTTGGTGTAAATGCCTGTGCTCTGCAGTTCTTGTCCGCATGACTTGGTGACACGTACATGTTACCACGTCGACAAGAAATGCTGTTCATTATTCGAGCTCGCAGTGGCAATGAAGGTGCTGTTGCAGCGGCTGAATCCTCCTCACGAACGTGGGGTAGGCGTGACGACTGCGACGGTGATCTCCAACAAGTCGTTTGGTTAATCTTGACCTTCCGGTGGCAGCAACACGTCGTAATCTCGATAATCTTGTCGACGGACGCTAGCATAAAAACAACAGCCATGCGTAGAAGTACCGGACATTGCCCTTGCCAACACACACTTGCCATACACGAAAAGTGATGACCATACTCTTTGATACACACTTGACAATTTATACGATGTAGAGCTCGGTTTACAATAGTAAAGATTGCTCGGAGCTGACAAGACACGAGGCCCAAAAACTGGCGATGCTGCTGGGAATGTGGAGTGTGACAGCCTTGAAGACGGCTGCATTCCTGTCAATCCAAATTCGTGTTTGGCAAATCGTCGCGAGGATATGCCAAATTTGTGTCCAGACGCGTTCAGCTTCATTGGCGTCATCCTGAAATTGGTCCGCTAGGATTTTCGTGCGGTACTCGCGGATGCTGTCAACTCGTCGACTGGCACAGGCCCCCAAATGTAGTTACATAACACAAATGTCATTTACTCTCTGTATTACAATACAAATGTTGTACTTAAAATCAGCTTACCTAAAAGTACTTCCTGATGAAGACAATAGCGAGCCTTGGAAGAAGCAGTTGCCGTACCTCGTACGTGCCGCAGCGCGGGTTCAGCAACTCGGTCGGTTGCGTACATAAGTTGGCGTTCCTGTTGTCCACGTACTTGGCTCTGAGACACAGCTGAGACACCGGTCGCGCAATTAGCGATTGTAGATCCCCGTTCGGATTTCCCGCCAGCATGCCAGCGGCACTACAATGCAATGAAACAGCCAACAAACAAGTACAAGACTTGTGCAGTTTTAGCCGCTGTGTCTGCATCACCATCTATGAAATTACACGATCATCTGCATTTGCTTTATGAATTGTCCCATCGCTGAACATCTAACATATTGCTGGGCTAAGCCAAAAACAAGATGTTCTAGAGCATGTGCCACCTCCGAGCTCTTGCAATTTCGGGTATAATTGATACGCGCTGAGGCAGCTAAAGAAACGACGTTGACTGCTTCAAAGCGCCGCGTTGCAGTGTACGGATGGCGGCGCACTTGTAAGCGCATGTTGTAACCGTTGTAGGCGCTGGACGGAACGCTGGCTGCAATACTGGCTTCTCCTTTTCCCGCGGCTCTCGTGATTTGGAGGTCCATTTCGATTAGAACCATGTGTGTAGGAACACACTGTTTATTTGCCGTGACTACGTAGACGGAGCAAGCTATCACTACATTGTTATCCAGGCCCGGCCATCGATGTCAGCTTCCCTGGCTTTCGGAGGTCTACGTCTCTGTCCGTTGTTGGCCGAAGGCGCAAATTGGGACCATCAAAGGTAATTGAAGTAGCACTACTACCAAACATGAAAATTTGTCATGAACATAGCATTCTACGGTGGCTGTGGCTTTCTATTTGCGCCTGTACAGTTCAAATCATACATAGACGGGAAATCACTAACGTCCTGTCCATCTGACCTCATCAGCTCAAACGTCAAGTTGATATGAGTGGATTAACTCGGACGTGCTGCTCACAATACCTTGGCAAGCTGATAAGATCATTCGACACCAGTCAAATTCCTACGGTGCGCTTTGTTTAACAAATGCGCTAACAAATGCGCCACAGTTGGGCACCCTTCACCAGCCTAATATCTTTGAAAGCGCGATGTTGATATCGCCGCATTGCTCTAGTATCATCCTTTAAGAATGTAAACACTATTTTTTGTCCTACGTATTGACGATAATGATACCGTTTGCGATGATGCTCGGTCCCTTGAGATACTTCTGCGATACAGCTAGAAAGGTTACTATCCAAGAGCCAGGCGAATTTGGCGGTGTTGATGTCTGCCCTTCCAACAGTCAAGTGTCCGAGCGGATTTACCTCCCTCGTTTCTCGAGGCGCTAATAATCCCGCTGCGAAAAAAAGGAGACTCGGACGACGCGATGGATTATCGTCCGATCTCCTTACTGCAAACCAGCTACAAGGTGTTTGCCAAGGTACTGGCAACGAGATTACAGCTATCGTTACCCCGGGCCATCAGCGACTCCCAACAAGGCTTTGTGCGCGGGCGCAAAATGTCCAAACCAGTTATGATGATGATGGCTCAACTGTCGACTGCAATGGAGCAAGAGGAGGTGCCGACAGCACTCAGTCGGTGTATTTTGCTGCTGGATTTCAAGAAGGCTTATGATACCGTGGACCGGGACTTTCTGTACGCGACTCTACGTCAGTTCAGCTTTGACGAGCGATTCATCGACCTCATTCGACGTATTCACACCGGCACGACAGCCAGCTTCGTCGTAAATGGTTGTTATTCCACACCTCTACAGGTTCGGTCAGGGATTCGGCAAGGATGCCCGTTAGCACCTCTTCTATTTTTGCTAGCAGTTGAGGTTCTCGGCCTAGCACTTCTGCAAGACCCCAACCTTAAAGGGCTACAAGTGCCCGGCCAGCCCGGGCAGACCCACCTTTACTCAGCATTTGTGGATGACACCACCCTATTTCTCGAGACAGCGGAGCAAATACCCCACGCGTTACATGTTGTGCGAGCATTTGGCGCTCTTGCTGGCCTACAGGTTCAACCTGCAAAGAGTCAGCTGATATTTCTGAATAGATCTGTCATGCTGGAGAGGTACGAGGGAATGACGGTCGTCCCCGCGGGCGCAACAACTCGATACTTGGGCTATGAGGTTGGAACGGGGGAGTTAGTGAACAAGAACTGAGCCCAGCGGATCCGGAAAATTCAAAGGAGGCTTCTCACAGCGACACGAGTAGCAACGAGCGTGGAGAATCGTGTGTTAATCCTCAACTCCATCGTGTTTCCCTCATTATTATTTACCGCGATAGTTTTTGAATTACCTCGGTGGGCGGAAAAAGAACTGCACAATCTATACAAGCAATTCCTGTGGGCGCACGCGACGACGACAGAAAGCAGTCGCCACAAGGTTAATCCTGGACTACTTGTGACGCCAAAACAAGCGGGAGGCATCGGACTAGCGGCTGTTTCGGTAGCGGTTAAAACTCAACGCACAAAGCACGCGTTTGCTTGGCTTACTCAGAAGCCGGATAAATACTATACTGCATGGCGAATGTGGACTTTCCGGAACAATCAAGGACCGGCCGCGACAATAGTGACTCCGGCTCAGGCTAAACTACGGGCATTGTTTAACCGGGCAGGTTCGCCAGGCCATGAGCTGAGGCAGGAGCTGGGAGAACGGCTCTCCCCAACAACAGATCAACAGGACCAGGTGACCGCGTGGAGGCACGCCCACTCCTCGGCCTTACTTGACCGAGCCATTAGCTGGTGGGAGGGGGACGAATTGGTACTGTCGTTCATTGACCCTTTCCCCATACGGCTGCTGGGGTATGATGATATGCCGGAGGAAATTCAGCGATTCTGGGCCACTTTTAACTGGAGTGCGAACCCATGGATTCGGGACCAGGGAGGCAACATGCTGGCCAGGACTACTTATAACAGGATCGAGGACTGCACCCTCGAACAACTACACATCCGGCGTACGGGGCCAGCGGAATTCGTTTTACGAATACCAATCCCTCAGGACCAACCCGGCCCTCATTCCAACGCAAAACTCCGTCGGTGGGCAACAGCCATCTTGCTTTCATCCCCGGACTTACCTATCGGGTCAGAGTTGCACGCGGCACCGCCACTACGCCTACGACAGGCACCACCATGTCTCCGCAGTTTTCGCTGGAAGCTTCTCGGAGCAGGCCTTATCGAAGGTCACTCGACGGATATCAAGCACGGCCAAACTCGGCCTGTCACTCTGCACCAAGCTGATGATGGGTTACACTGGTTTTGTCACGGCTTCCTGCCGGAGCTCACTGTCGGTTCGCCATCGGAACGCCAGGCGGTCTGTCGTGAGATTAGAACTTGGGGTCTGGTATTCGAAGCGCACCCGCAGCTGCATCGGTTTCCTTGGTCTGTGCCGACCACAACGTCTAATCACTTCGTTACAAAGGCCTTAGGCAAGCAAGCTTTCCGGTTCCATAAAAAGGTTCTCGCTCGCCAACTTTCCGTTCTCATTGATCGACTGTCCAAATCTGCAACGACGGATGAATGGCAATGCGCAGCGCTCCGGCAAACGCCGAGGCAAGTGTGGGATCATAGTAATGGACTCACACCGTATCCAGTCTGGACAGGGTACAGGGTGGCGACCAGACAATTAAATCTGTATCACGCTACGAGGTACGAAAATAATAGTTGCAGAAAGGCACCGGCCTGCAGCGGCAGTGAGGAGACCATTGGTCATCTGTTTTGGGACTGTGCCTGCGCTGCAGCGCTATGGGGCAAACTTATTGGTCACTGGACTGGGCAACAAGTTACCCGCCAAGCGACCAAACACTTTGTGGTGGCCTGTGCAAGCCGAAGGGTTCACAGCATACCCGAGCACCGTATGCAAAGTCTAGCGGACCGATTTCAGGATGACACGGATGCAGCCGAACGTGTCTGGACGCGAATTTGGCACGTCTTGGCAACGATATGTCACACACGGCTATGGGTCGACAGAAATGCCGCTGTCTACAAGGCAGTCCCGCTCCACCTTCCCAGCAGCATAGCCAGTTTTTGGGCTTCGTGCCTTTGTCAGCTCCGAGCGATCGCGAAGAGAGAGCATCAAAAAGTTGCGTCCGCCACAACGGGTGCTTTGCTATATGCATGCATCGAGTTGCTCGAGCGCGAACCTAGAGGGCCACCGCTTTCAACGGTGACCAGCCATGATTTACAGTCGGGCCAACCGGCGTTGACATCCTGGCTCAGGACTTTCCAGAGATCTTGCACATAGTTAACACCATGTAAATAGACGATCTGAACAACCCCCCCCCCCACAGTCAAGTGTCCGACAGCCAGTCAAATGTCCAACAGCCAGTCAAATGTCCAACAGCCAGTCAAGGTCACAAACAGCCTCCCCACATTACATTTTGCCTGCCACTGTGCACGTACAGTAAGCGCCAGCCCACGACGATGCTGATTGTTACCGCGCTGATCCTATGGTCAGCTGCGAGCGTGGCCTCCGCGATGCCTGTGCATGTCATCCATAGCGCACACGAGTCTACTACATGGAATGTGACGAACACTCCCCTCTCGGGCTCAAGCGTGAGCATGAATTCAAATTACTATACCTACAGCTCCGAGGAGAGAGGTGGACCACCGGCGGATATCGTAACCATACTAAAGAATTTCCACGCATCCATCATACCGTCTGCTACGAGCGAAATTCCTCAGTTCGAAGCCATGAGTGAGGAATTTACGCGTCTAACCCAAAGTGGCGAAACAACTTCATTTGTACCCGACTGGAAAAAATTTGTCAAGTCACAATACCCAAGTCACCCGAAAATTGCAGAAAAGGTAATATTCTTGACATTGGCATATTATTTTACGGGTGATGTTCTCCGTCATTTCCTAGTTGCGGGAACAAAGGTTGACACAACGAAGTACATTGCTCTCGAACTACTTAACCTCGTGATCAATAAGTGGAAAAACAACGGGCAAAGTGAAGCAGAGGTATTTAAGCTTTTGGAGCTTCAGCAGCCGAATGGCAATCTTTTCGAAGGTCCAATCTTTGGTAAGTGAATTGAATTCGTACAAGCCAAATATGAAGGTCAACACGAGCGTTATAAAAAGATGTATGAAGTCTTGGCAACACATTTTAAGGTCGACGACCTAGCCAGAATTCTGGTTAAGGGAGCAGAAAGCGATGTTGGTGAAGAAATGAATGGCCGTGCTAGAAGTCTGCTAGACTTTCAGGTCCGTAGGTGGAAGACCCTTGACCGAGATGAGGCAAATGTGTTTAAGCTGTTGCAACTCGACGAGACAAAAAAACCTTTGGAAAGCCCGGTTTTTCTTAAGTGGGCCAAGTTCGTCTGGCTGCGATACCCTAAAAAAACTCCAATAAGATGATTCTCGACAAACTATCATCTATTTACGAAAGCAAAAATGCTTTATTGGGTGGTCTGGATGCGCTAGATCGAGCAAAAGCCTCTTCTCAGGATAAAGCTGCCGAAAAGATACTAAAGTACCAGTACAAGCAGTGGGGCAACAAAGGTGCGGAGGAGGTTTTTGATATTTTAGAGCTCCAACGGACAGATAGCAATCTTTTCGATAAGCCGGCCTTTTCCGCGTGGGTCGGCTTCGTCTCGTCAATATCGTCGGATGGTTTAAAAGCATTTAAGACGATACTCTCCTTCCTTGGACTTGATTACAAGGACAATCTAGAGACAATACTCTCCCTCCTTGAACTTGTTTACAAGAATAGACCCAAGACGATGCTCTCCATCCTTGAACTTGTTTACAAAGATAATCTGGTCAAAGCTTTAGATGACGGAACAAAGATTAAGAAAGTGAAACCCGTCGCTGAAAATGTGAAGGCAGCCTTGAAAAGAAAAAAGGAGACAGAAGCGAAGAATAAATTGCGATTGGCAAAACGGAAAAATTCTTACTTACAAGAGCGTCCACCGGCGAAACGGCAGAATTCTAAGCGTCCATTGGCGATCGGGCAGAATTCCAAGCGTCCACCAGGACTAGCATCAGCATCAAAACCAGCATCAGACCTAGTGCCAGACCCAGTAACAGACCCAGACCCAGCACTAGACCAAGTATCAGCATTAGGCCCAGCACCAGCATCAGCATCAGCATCAGACCCAGCACCAGACCCAGCACCAGACCCAGCACCAGCACCAGCACCAGACCCAGCACCAGCACCAGACCCAGCACCAGCACCAGCACCAGCACCAGCACCAGCACCAGCACCAGACCCAGCACCAGCACCAGCACCAGCACCAGCACCAGCACCTGTGGCGAAATGGCCGATAATCGACTTGAACAAGCTACCGAATGAACGGCATTGAACGAGGCTTTTGCTGGAATTATTTGAACCTGTTTTCTCGACAACAGATTAGCTTTTGAAAGCATAGTATCACCAAGGCTATACAATGGTCCTGAAACTTTATGACTACTTCCTTTGAAAACGATCGAAGAGTTCAAAGGACATACTTAACATTAGTCTAAGAAAAAATATTCCATGACTCTAGCGAAAATTTGCGTGTTTGCAATCAAGGTGGGTTTTGTGTTTTGAATGGAAATGTCTTGTCACGTTGATTGGCATTTTCTGGCGCTTAGGTATCAACCATTTTCTGCTTTGAAGGGCCGCGGCAACAATTCATATAAAAATATAATGATATAGGTCTAGCAAACCCCTTAGCAATGCGTAGATATTAACAAGATGGCGAACTGACATGGCGCGAATTGTATAGGAGCAGTTAAGACGCTAAAAAGAGTGTTAAGCTTAGAGAACGTATTATGCTTGTATTGATGGAAAATTGGATCAATCATTCCAAAATTTTGTCAATGTGTACCCGGTGGAACGACGGGATTACATTGGCCTGAATATGTTGACTTTGTTACTTATTAATTTACCTACGTCAACCAGATATTCTAAGTCAAAGTGATGGGCCAATATACTGTCACCGTATAATCTGCGCGCCTATTCGTCGAAACGACGGGTGAACACCCTGGTCTTGTATAATAAAAGAATGAGTCCGTCCGTGTCATGTCTTATTTTTCTTTTTTTCCTTTGGTACAGCCGGTTCATTTCGTATTTCTTACGACCTAGTACTGTCCTCTTCGGCGAGGGCCTACACTCCCTGACCGGTCATATAACGGGGTTATACGACGGTTGTACTGTCATTCCGAAAGTTTACGGTTAAACTCCCCTTTGTATTGCATATAATGCATTATTATACTTCTCTTTAGAGAGGTATTAAGTATGAGCGTTAAGATACGGTATTCGGTAATACCGTATCTTATCGATTGGGATTCGATAATCGATAACGCTGTACTAAGTACATCATACACAGATGTTTAGACGATACGTCGTCCAATAGCAAGGTCTGCATATAATTATTACTATTATAGTAATTAATCTAGTGTAGTGTACTTAGAGTAGGACTATCCATAAAATCTTAAAGCATAAATAAAATCAGTTCTCATTTTGAGTTTAAGATCGCAAGTCTTCCTGACTTGTTCTCTTGTGCACTTCGTGCGTTGGTTCTCTGAACCCTTAAGCTTCTAGCTTGTTCTTGCACTCTGTGCGTTGATTCTCTAACACTATAGCTTATTGCTTGTATACTAAAGTCTCTTTCCTAGTTCCTTAAAACAGGGTGACTTTCAGTCGTTTAATTAGTTTCTTAGAACTAAGTGGCTTTTAGCCGTAATTTTTTTTATTTCTCAAAAATAAGAGGCTTTCAGCCTAAAAGCCTTCCTCTGGCTAAAGAGCTGTGCATCTCCGCTACACTTGGTAGCACTGTAGTCAATCCTACACCTGAGTCTATAAGACTGACCCTCTGTGAGGATGGAGAATCAAAATCATCTCTCTGAGGCGCAACGACTCGCCTTAGATAAACTATCTACGTTCGTCGGGCCTGATCAAATCGAGGCCCTTTTGTCCCAAGGCCCCGAGGTTTTAAATGCTCGTCTTGAGGCCTTTATGCGTTATGAAGCAACGCTACTCATGCAGGTCCATGACTAGGCAGCGTCAGCTGCGCCTACGCAGTACATCCCGGTACCTGTGCCCGATGCAGAGCCAAAGGCTCGCCCACTTGTTGTAAACGTGAAAACCTTTGAGGATAAGGAGGGAGAAAATCTTCTCCTCTTGAACCGAGAAGTTAAAAGTGGCAATGGATGCTGCCATGTTTGTGTCAGATAAGCAACGAGTTGTCTTGGCCATTTCTTAGCTCGGTGGAAGAGCTACAGATTGGGCTCTAACGAGCGATGTCTCCGTAAATGCCGCATTTCCCACATGGGAAATGCTTAAAAAGCAAATTAGTTGCGTGTTTGCACCGCCTAATCAGGCTTATCGTGTGCGCTCACGCTTCTTAGCTACCCGACAGGGTAAGAAAGAATTGTCGGTGTAACGGGGCTAGAACGTACCGTCACTAGCTTACACGTGCGCTTGAGGAAGACTCAAGCCCGAGTATTAGGTATTAAGTAAATTTAACTCTGATTTTTATTTTGGTTTTAATTCGTACTAATTACGAAGATTTTAGTCGTAATAAATACGACAGTGTTCCCGCCTTTCGGGAACCACACAATTTCAGGTTGATTTATCATTGGTCCATATTGGGGACTTTAGGCCCAATAATAAACCAATAATAAATTACCACGCTGTGCCCGCTATTCGGGCCCAGCACCTGCCTATGTTTATTTGTGTTAATGCTATATGTGTAATGTAGCCCATTACATCACCCCCTTCTCATGACAGCACTCACCAACCGTGAGTGCTCAACTGTCGAAAACCCTTCGCCCACAAACGAACAAGCAATGTCCGGAGACCCAACACCCAATCCAGCAGAACTCCCAAGATACATCAGCGGGAATGCATCAACCAACATCATGGCGCGGCAGCTCATACCTTGGTCGCTGTACGACTTGTCCGGAGCTCACGCTCCGGACTCACTGGACATGATGCGGGACTACTTCCGCCGATTTCGAAAATTGCGCGGGAAAGGTCTTGATGGAATCGAGCATGAAGCTCTACAACGTTCTTGGTGCGCCTTCATCCAACGTTGGAATCGGATGCTCGAGGATGGTAGCAGCTTCCAGTTATGGCTCGCCAATCGAGAGGAGCTTCGCGCCGATCACTCCATCGGCGCGCTACGCGAAAGAGTGTGTGAGGATGCTTGGAATGAGGACCGTCTCTGCTTCGTCCATGTCAATGAAGGATGCCAATCTTGTGACTCGACTCCACGCCCAACTCATGACGAATGGCGACGACACATCGCTGAGTGTCCACTCAGTGATCGCGAACGAAGTTGGATTGCGAAGTATGAGCGAAGTCTGGGCGAACGGAGAAGCGCAGTTATTCGTGGTGCGCCCTGCTGGCGGCACCACTCGCGACAGCGGAGTCGATCTCCGCGGGATCATCAGCGCAGGGCAGCGACACGTTCGCCTGCCCGTCCAGTTGCGCGATTCTCGCCTAGCAATCGTGATATGTATTCACCGCGACATTCTCGATCACGGCATCGATCTCGTTCGCGACATCGTTTGCGTTCGCGACATCGTTCTCGTTCTTGTCATCGTTCCCGTTTCCGAAAACGTGAATCTCCTTACCGCTCTCGTTTGTCACGAGAGCGTTCGCGTGCTCGCCCGCCTTGGAATAGTCCGACTTCGTGGCTTCATACGACAGAACCACATCTGGAACGTCACGAAGGAGCGAGGAACGTGGTTCCCATGTATCCTGCTCGGGAGGGAATCCAAGCCAACGTACTCGGTACCTACGCACGGATGGAACCGCACGCTTCTCATGAGCCGACTGCAGTAATGGTTGTGGAGGGTCCTCGTGACCCACAATGCGGTCTACAATCCAGCGCACCTGTCCCTCCGCATCAACAAGCGGAGGAGGGCTCTCGCGGTGGTAGAGCTGGCGTCCTGGTTGCTCAGGACGATGTTGATCAGGCCGTGAATATAGCTGCCGATGCTCGGCTGGAGGCTGAGGCTGCCAGTGAACGTGCTGCCCAGGCGGAGAAGACTTCGAGTGAGACCCGGCAGTCGAACCGTGAACTGCTCGAGCGGATAAGGATTCTGGAGCGCCAGATGCTTGGTCAGGTTCAGACGGGATCGAGACCCCGCCCCATGTCATCGGCGCGTCGAGCGCGACGGGAAGGCCGTTCGACTTACGAACCCCTGAAGCCGGCGTCGGAGCCAAACCGTGAAGCGTAGCCGGACGATATTCCTTCAGCCGCCCGACATAGAATGTCGGGTGGAGTCGCAGTGAAGAGGGGACGTCGAGTGTATAAGCGTCGCCAATTGCCTTCAGAACCTTGAATGGACCGATGAAGCGTGGCGCGAGTTTACTCGCGCCCAGATTAGTGACCGCAGAATCCCTTAAACCTTCCGTCGATAATAATACACGGTCACCTTTCTCAAACTTGCTCATGTTCTTTCTTCCATGTTTGTCAGCGTTCTCCTTCTGTAGGTCTACAGCAGTTTGTAGTGCGTCGCGTACAAACCTGGTGATGGCTTGACGTTGGAGTATAAATTCCGACACGGCCATGTCATCAATTGGTCGCGCCGACTCAATCGGCGCGTAGTTGGCAGTAGAGGGAACGCTTACCCGAAGACGGTTCAATCAATGTCTGCGCAGTCCATCGAGCTAATGGGGACGCCACGTCTGATGGCGCCAAATGGCCGTCTTTGCCTTGGATCGTGTTACTGCATTCGCGCTCAAAATACCGTGAGCTGCACTCGATCCTTGTTTATCACCTTTATCCCCCCCCAGAGTGGAGCCACTAGGTGTTGTGGGTCGCCCCACGGCCAGGACAGTAGGAACACGAGGGTGACGAGCCGAATTCACAAAAAATGGCGTCAACCCTGTTGACGCGTGTACGGCGTTGTTGAGTGCGAACTCAGCGAGTGGTAAAAATGCACTCCAACTTGTAAATGACGTAGCATAACTCCGAAGAACATCTTCGAGGACTCGGTTCACGCGCTCGGTCTGCCCATCCGTTTCCGGATGGGCTGCCGTCGACATCAGCAGTTTTGTCCCGAGGAGCTCGAAAAGTGATGTCCAAAATGCGGACGTAAATCGCGGATCACGGTCCGAAACAATGTTTTCTGGAAGGCCATGATGACGGAACACCGCGTCGATGAAGTGCGCCGCGGTCTCTGCCGCGGTGACCTTAGCGTGAACAGGCACGAGATGTGTCATCTTGCTGAATCTGTCAACAAAGACCAAGATGCCCGTTCGAGCTTGGCTATCGGGCGCAAGCCCGAAGATAAAGTCCATCGAAACTGATCTCCAGGCCTCTGCTGCAATTGGCAACGATCGCAAGGGAGCCTGTGACGATGGAGA